TTCCAGATGCGAGCGTAATAAACTAGAAAGAAGTAGTGGCGTAGGTTTGTGCGGGCTGGGGGACACACTAAGAGATTGCAGGAGTTTCGGAGCCTGTAGCGAGGTTGTGAGTTTATGCTTGGTCTAGCCTCTGCTATAAAGGCGTTCTTATGCAGTAAACGGTGCAAGAGAGCTAGATTCAATTTTAACCGTCTAAGCCATAGTGGTTCAAGGCCTAGGATTTGACAACGGGAGCGGTAAGAGAGGGGGTTTGATCGAGGAAAGAGTTTTTTCGTAAATGAGCGTTGGACGCTTTCAATTGCGAGTCTGCAACTTTGGGTGTAGAGGGAGGAGAACGTGGTACAGAATTCCACGATTGGTCGTACGCATAGCTTAAAGATTGCGACCATCGTGTCTGGAAGGTGGCAGGAGCGCAGTATTAAAAAACTGAGCCTGCGCGCTCTTGCTACCTGATACTGCACCTGGTGGGAAAAGCTAAAAGTACAGGAGTATCTGAGGCCGAGATCTTTGATCTCTGTAGAATGAGTAATAGGATTTCCATTAATTGTGAAAGCATCAGCCGGGAGAGAGCAGCGGCAGGAAGTTATACAGGATTTTGTGGAGGAGAAGCTAAGGCCAGAGTTGTTTGACCAGCGAGTCAGTGAATCTAGGTCTTGCTTAATCTGGTGAAAGGCAAGGGTTTTTGCAGAGGTGGGGAATGTGTACGCGATTTTTATATCGTCCGCGAAGAGGAAGGCCTTACCGTGAGATATGGCGCCGAAGACATCATTGATGTATAGTAAGAAAAGGATGGGGCCTAGCACGCTTCCTTGGATGACTCCGCTAGTGATCGGTAGTGGAGATGATTGTATGTCCCCTATTTGCGTTATTTGCTTCCTGTCTGATAAATAGGAGGCAAACCACTGAAATAAGGTTCCCGTGATGCCAACGGTGCTAAGTTTGTGTAGCAGGGAGGCGTGGGGGACCTGGTCGAAGGCTTTTTGGATGTCTAGATAGACTGTTACTATGGCGTATCCAGCGTCGTAAGCTGCTGTGATGGTCTCAAAAAAGTGAAGCTGGCAGCCGTTTACGGATCTCTGAGATAGGAATCCATACTGTCGATCATCTATGGCGTTTGTAGCTAGGAGAAACCTGATTAAAGGGCCTTTTACCAGACGTTCGAGGGTTCGCATTAAAAGAGGAGTATGGTGGATCCCTCTGTAATTTGAAGCAGTTTGCCTGGATCCGGATTTAAAATGGGGGCGAACGACAGATTGTTTCCATTGAGAGGGGACGATTCCAGAGTTTACTGAGTGAGTAAAAAGATTTAGGACAAGGGTTTTGACATCTTGACCGCCATATCTCAGGACACGCGATGGTATGCCGTCACCTCCCGGCACGGCGGAGTCTCTGAGGGTTTGAAGAAGGGCTGATACATCAGCTAGGGAGATAGTCAAGCTGCTCAGAGTCGGGCGGTTACTCTGTTGTAGACAGGTGGAATATGAGGCGGGGATTGTAGGATTGAACTTAGGAGAAGGAGGCAAGTAGCAGCTGGCAAAGTAAGCATTCAAGTGGTCGGCTATATTGACAGGATGAGTGATGAAGCTACCATTGGTGGAGCTCAGACATGTGACTTGGTGACAGTTTGGGGTACAGCGTCCACGAAATAGGCGGCCGAGTAATTTACAGCTAGAAGGGCCCCTGAGAGCGGTGTTCTCTTCTCGGCATTCGAGGGATACCCGTAAGGATTCTTGGTCAGTTGAAAGCTTGTTGATGAGAAGTATTAATGAGAAATCGCGAGATTTCCGATATTCTCTGCCGGCTCGGCGTATTTTATTTTCCAAGGCTTTCAATAGTTTATCATGTCGAGAGGAACCAGGGTAAAAACTCTTGATGGGAGAGGCAAGGTAGAGAGAGGTCAATAGGTTTTGGTAGAAGATATCACAAATCCGTTGTGTGTCTGACGAGAGAAAGAAGTCGCTCCAGTCCCGGGAGGCCAGCTGGGTCGAAAAAGCCAGCAAAATATCCGGAGTCAGGAAGTGAAGGAAAGATGGACTTGGGGGAACAGCTTCGCTAAACCTGACTGCGTTACATGAAACAACGCAGTGATCGCTACCTGGAAAGCATGGACCAACTGCAGTCGTAGCCATCACGTGAGTAAAATCTCGGAGCAGACTGAGCACATTTTTTCTATGTGATTAATGTAACCGCTATTGTTATTTTTATTTTATTCACTCTGAAACGTGAGAGTGATGAATGCAGAAAGTAAAAGATGTGAAACACGGTGGTGAATAGGTTGTTCGGTCTCTCTGAAGACACTTTTACTCATAGTTCAATTTTTTCTCGGTTTTCGAGTTTGTGTCGGCATCACCATTAGTCGAAAACTGCCAAAGCGGATAAGAACCCCAACAAAATTCTTTTTCCAAGCCCTCCCGGCTTTATGAAAAATCCACAGGTTGGGACGATCACTAGAAGCAGACGGAAATTGATTCCACCAAAACTGTATGGTCTTCAAATTCGAGGATTTCACAGGGAGTTGTAGAATTCCGACTACAAGCCTCATGGATATTTTGCTCGTGGCACTCAGTTGAGGTGAACGTTCAATGTCGCGCGCGCAAAAGCAACCCACCAATCCAGGTCCTTTCGCAGAGTTTTAGTAGGAAGCAAAGACACATCATCTACTCGTTTTACAATAATATACCAGTTGATTCACTGATACTTTATTCAGTAGCCGTAGAAATTTTGAGTGGTACGCAGTTTCTTAAATTTATCTGCAAGACCAGCGGTACATAAGAATTGGGTCTCCCGTACTGCAGTAGGGCATTGCTTGACTGAACATCAGTCGGAAAGACTTCGTTGCTGAGCGTTTGCTCTCCAGGCGGTAGGAAGTTACCAACGAAGAGTCGTTATACCGGTGACAGCAACCCCCTGGGTAACTAGTGCCGCATGTTCTTTCTGCCAAAAAATCGCCAAACTTCACAAACGCGAGTAATTCCATGGCCCGGTCTTTGGCTAAAGGCCTTGTGCCATTNTATTGCATTATACCTGCAACATGAAATTAAACTATCAGTTTTACGCCTTTCTAACTACCTGAGTGCTGACTCCGGTCAAGTTTAGTGGCTGCGGTTTTACCTTGGGATGATTCTGGCTAGATGTAATCGCTTATTCTCATCTTATTTTCGGATAATTGCTCACCGGATTAAGCTGGTGCAATTGAAGGTTATCTTTGTCTTGAACAAAAAAATATACGGGTGCAACGTACAAAGCTACTAGCCACCAGGATGGCACCCCATCTACGCAGTGTATGCTGAATCGGCACGTGTTTATGCTGGCAGACACGCCTGCACTCAGTATTCATCTTGAGGACTGTGTGGCGCAGACCATACCTAGTTGTGTTTGGTCCAATGGAGAAGACAATCAACGGTACCATTCTTCAAACTTGAAAAGCATTAATAGCACACCCGAACGTTCTTCCACTGCTTCTGCGCCATCCATGAACCGATGAATCGGATTACTAGAAAATTTACTCACGCTTTCTTCGGTCGCTAATTCCAAGAATCACGGGACAGATATTTTATACAATTTAGACCAATGAAAGCGCAAACCAACACTGATGGTACTTAGTTCGCGCGGTACAGTGCGTGCCCCACTTTTCCAATCATCCTATTATTCCTTCGACTACTGTATAACATTTCATTCTCGAATGATGCTGCCGCTTCGTGCTTTTGATGCACATTTAATCGGCACGTTTTCCAGTGAAGGAAGTGGAAAATGAGAAAACCATTACAGTTCTGTGATCACTGAATTAAATGGAATTTTCTTCGTCCATCGCCGACAGGTTTCATCTCTTTTCCATGGACTGATGCGTGGCCTAATGTGCTGTCGGGGATTTTCAACTGTAGAGGTTTTTACGAGTGGCTGCGAAGCATTGGGATTTGTCCTAAGTTTCTTCAGCTTGGATTTCGTCTGTCCGACAGGTTTCCTTTTCCATGGACTGATGCGTGGCCTAATGTGCTGTCGGGGATTTTCAACTGTAGAGGTTTTTACGAGTGGCTGCGAAGCAAGCATACGGACTGTATGGTTCAGTCTCGCGTTTCCCAACGGACGTAACGGAACACTGTGGGGGATGATGAACTGTTCAAGATAGACTGCAAAACGAAACGAATTCCACCACCTCTTCTGTCCCTCGGCCTGCTTGTCATCACGCGTAAAGCTTTCGGACATTCGCAATAGCTGATCTCAATCACTGCGGTTCCGGCGGGCAGTGCAGAGCGATCCTCTGCCGAATTTTAGGTTTACACCGAATGCTTAATGCAACTACACACAGGACTTCAGTTTTAAGGATATAGTGCACACGTGGAAAGCAGTCCAGTGGCTAATATGTCACGAGCAGGGCGAAACAGGCGTTATTGCAAGTTCTCGGCGGGAAAGATATTGGGGGGTGAAACAAAACACAAGTGGAGTTTTTCTCCAAGAAGGGCACAGGAATGTCCTGTGATAACCATCGTGGCATTAGTTTATCATGCATTACATCAAAAGTGCCCTCTGGCATTATTTTGCGCAGGTTGACTGATAGAGGAGACGCATATTCGCGAAAATATAGCTGAATTTCTCCCTGATCGAGGATGCCTCGACCTTGAGATAGCTTCCTGAGTGGCGCCACTCTTCTAAACGTCCTACATTGATCTAAGGCTGCTTCTGACTCTTGATCGTCAGAAACTTTGGCGGTCTGTCAACCAAAGGTGTTTATTCCAAATTTATATCCTTAATGAGGGCACTGTGTGCGAAATGCTTTGCCTGCCTTCGTGTATACGACAAGCCTTCGCTTAAGTCCATCAAATCCGGTGGTGTAAGACAAGATTGACTTCTCTCGCCTTTCTTCTGTAATTTTGTTATTGAAATAGTGATTGAAACTTCTGTTTGCCCCTGAAACCTCGGAGGTTGAAACTCTCCCGGGACGTTTGCTCACATACATTGAGTATGCGGATGGTACTTCTCTCTTTGATTCGGATCCTTAAACAATGCAAACCGTTTTAAGTAACCTGACTAGTTCTACTGAACAATTCGATGAGAACGTCACTCCTGCAAAATATAAAGGGCTGCTATAAGACTGCGTGGGACCAGATCTAAACCTCATGCTTGTGGTCCATCGACTTGGTGGATAATTTTTTTTACCTTGGCAGTAATATAAGTTCCGGTAAACTGGCTGGAGACGAATTACTTCTAGAATCGGCAAGCCAAGGACAGTTCTTGCCAGTTTTTACGTCAACGTGACGCGTTTTGTCAAGAACAGAGTTTACTTTGTGGCATTGCGATGCATTCTGTTTTATGCAACGAGGCCTCTGTGCGCCGAGGACATATGAAGGCTATCGGTGCTTCACTGTCGTCTGGTGAGAACATCTGATTAGCAGTGTCGAGTTTGCACCGGTCACTTCCTTGTCTCTTCAACCAACTTCGCTTAATTTGCCTAGTACATCCGTGCTCACTAGATCAGGTGACTCGTTTGTTCCGCAACCGCACAAATCACGTGACAAAACCCTGTCCCGCTCGCATCTTAGACCGACAGCAAGTCAGTTCTCGTCTTGTACGCGTCGGAACGATTCTATCTATTATAAACACCTCTATTTATGCTATCTATGGGTAGACGCAACACAATTACCACACACATGCGCGTGCGGGGAGCAGGAAGTCAATCAGACCGTACAAGTCCACGGAAAATTATGGAACGCGTGTAGCAGCTATGCTAGTGCAGTCTTAGTCGCAGTCTGTTTAGTTGACCATCCAGAGTGTCTAGTGGATTGGATTCCTTTTGCGCTTGACTGGTCGGTTGCCACCACATTAGATCTCGTAACCCGCGCGATCCCGAAGATCGTTTGACTATTTTGTTTGATTTCCAGAACACTGCCGATTGGAGCTTGTTACCTGCTCTTATTATTCGCTTTTTAAACCGCAATTGCGATTCACGTCTTGATTTCGGTGCTCGGTATCGGTCGGCCATATACATCTCAATGTTATTATCAGGGAACGTTACAGTATTTGTGAGCCACCTCTTCGGTCATTAGCTTCTAGTGCATCGCGAATTTCTAAGTGAACTCTACTCTGGCTTGGACAGCTCAGCTGNCCAAGGAATCTTGAATTTAAACAAGATTTCTACTCCCACATTGCCCAAGAGATATCCCCCGGCATGCACAACTTCAAGGGTTACCTGGTCCTTTTCAACACATACAATTGATGTAGCCAATGTCGCTGTTAGCGACTGATTGTCCAATAGCTCTCCCACCGGGCCTTTCGTTCCGTCTTTCATTTGTACTTGGTTTCTATTCGTCTACATGCATCGTTCGAGTTTCCTATGCTTAGTACAAAAACGTCGATGCACGTTGGACAGGAAGGAGCCCTGATAACGGCTATAAAAGCTCTAAATGTCGATATTAGTTGCCCTCAATGGACCTTCAAGACCTTGCTCCTTTCTTCATCCTATTCGCGAAGTGAGTCTCACTCGCATCTTGTCGGAGATCCCAAAGCATCCTCACCTACTTAAGTGGGTGTTAACTTAGTATTGAGTGGCAATACCAAGGCCGTATTGTCATATTCATTCCTGCTGTGGTAGGTATTCTTTTTTCTCCAACACGTTTGCATGTAAGACGAGTCGAAGGCGCAGTGGCAAACGGTGTCTCCATAAGTCCTAGCCGACCCCGAATTTAGCCAAAGATGACTCATACTAGCGCTTTCACGACTTATTTTCGTCGTTCCAGTCGAGATTCTGCTTGTTAGAGCGTGCCACCTAATAACAACTTGGGTGTTCCTTTTGATCCAAAAGACTGTCGTTCGAATGACAGAGACCGACTCCTGAGTCCGCATGGAGATGGTTGGCTCTTTCTCGCAAACGCAAAATTTTAGCGTAACTATAACCGCGCCGTAGCCTGGTGCTATGTGGCTCAAATTTGCCACGTCACGATTGGCTCTAGGTGGTGGAGCAGCGTGAATAGTGTTTTTGTATGGACTTTGATCATACATCCGCTTGTGCCAAAAAACGTAAGGATGTACGGTGTGTAGGCGTGGTTACTAGCTGACTGACGTTTTATCCAGCAATCTGGCACGAATACTTTTGAAATTCTGGAAGAATGATTTCTGCCCCAAAGTGGTTTTTAAATGGAGCTGCTTTGTAGGGTACAGTTTGATTGGGGTGTTAAATAAAAGTACAACTGGTCAAGAAGCTGTTTTGTTGACAAAAACTATTCGATTATCCCTTCTTGTTTCAGTCTTCTCTACTCTCCTTATTGTCACTCTTCCTTTGCCTGTTTGGCACTGATGCCAAATGCATTTGGTATGGAATAGCTGTCCATTCGGAAGACCACCCGCGATACAGGGCCTATGATGGACCTGGTCGGCCGCTCAACGATGCAGATGCTTTCAAAATTTTGTCAAAGCTATGTCCCAACTATGCGTTAGCTCCGGACACACCACTTTGCTGTGACAAGGAGCAGCTGCAGTTCTTTCAGAACTCTTCCAAAGCAGCTTATGAGTTACTTCGAAGGTATGCACCCCCGTAAAATCTCATCACATGTTTGCTATTATTTGTCTAGCCCATCATTATTTTTTCAGTTTGTCCGGGTTTTGTTAAAATTGCGGGAGAATTCCCTCAAAACCGACCCTTTTTTGCCGGTCTTTCAGATGCTTTCTCCAGGGGAGGGGAACAACTAGTCTTCAATATTTTCACAGTAGTCCGCCAGGGTCATCACTGATCCTTTAATGGGCTCCTCAGATGCGTCTCTGACTCGCCTGCACATTATACGACCTTTGCAATCAACGTCGCACAGTTCAGGATAGTATACAGACTGCTCCACGAACGAAGCAGTCCTCTGAGAACCTTTTGACATCAGACGTGATGAGTCCTATCAGGATCCACTTTTCCTCGGCCTCCAGTCGGTAACCGTCCGTATGTGCTCTTTTTTTTCGGATACGAACGTCCTCACTCGCTGGGTATGCTTCCACAAAAGAAAGCGACGAAGATTGACCACTGACGATGGAGGATATCAAAATATACTCTCTTTCAGAGAATGCTCTCTCCGGACACGGAGCTGCCATATCAACTAGGCTCTTGGACTTGGAAAATTCACGCGAATTCCCCCTTCTAGCTTCATAGTATAGTATAGTATAGTATTGTATTGTATAGTATGGTATAGTGTGGTATGGCGCAGTATGAGTCATCACTTCGGAATGCTGGTGACTTTGGATTTGTCCCTCCCCTGTGTTCATCCATCAGTTCAGGGCTCTTAGGTGGATTCATACATGACTCAGCACAAATTGTATGTAACACCATCCGTTGTGAGCGTGTGTCCACCGGTATAGTTCAATGTGGCCAGCCAATCTGGGAGCGAATACCAGCCCACCATATATATGTATACGTATATAATGTGGTGCGTTGTAGTATAAACATATTGTAGTGTGGTACGGTGTCAAAATCTCATTGTTTTCTGACCGAACATACCAATAATAACGCATGCTTGGAGAGCTATTTTAGAAATCATTGATCATATTTCCCTAGCTGTCTTTTGATAACTATTCATTTCCAAGTGACTCGTAATATCATCTAAGGGGTTTGTCACTGATTGTCATGTCCTATCTTGAAGGTACTGTGTTTTTACTCTCGCTATCAATAGACCGTGCGCTTACATTCTTTCCGTTTGTCTTTCTCCCACCGCACCCGTTCTCAGGTGTCCGGCATGCTGGGCTAATTTTCGTCTACTCTTCTGTGCCATGACTTGTGACCCGGAACAGGCTAACTTTCTCAATCCGACCATCGTAGACAATTATGTCGAATCAGTAGCGTTCAACTTGACAAATTCGGTCGCCAACACATTTTTCAATAGTTGCAAGGTGCGTTACCAAATTACATGACCAATGTTTCATTATTGATTCTGCTAGTAACCATTAATTACAAGTAACCACTCAGAAGAGGACGTTTTTATTGCTTTTGAAGCATACGTTGAATGGCATGCGACATTGCATTGTTTCCTCTTTGTCAGAAACACGATCCTTACTTTGAACCGTACTCAGCTTCTTTTTCGATATGCTGCAGCTGGCATTTGCATTGTTCAGCTGTAACACCGTTTCGATGCCCGAAAGAAGCACGAGGTCTGTGGTTAGCTATGAGGTACGGATTAGTCGTACCGGTGATCGTTGTCCCCCGTCTGTTCAAAATTCAATCTCCAAGCAACTTTCAAGACAACCAGTCAACCTAACAGCCAATTCTCCCGACAGGAACTTTAGAAGCAACGCTTTAGTTCCGAAAAACAGTTAATTAACTAATAGGAATGCTAGGTCAGCCTTACTGGTTGTCTATCGATCACATCCACTGACAAAACCGCCTGCAACTAAGCGCTAACCTTGGCGTTTACGCCGACCGACTTGTTACCTCTAACCTGCCCGATTCTCATTTTTGCCGTTTAATAAAGACCTTTTTAAACTAGAACCGTGACAAACTGTTTATTCCTGATCCACTAATGATCCGCCTTTGTTGCAGTTGGGTGACCTCTCTGTTCACAAGTCGTGCCTTCACTGATATTCACCCAGTCAATTCGTTCGGACCTGTATCAATCAGCTGTGCAGGGACGCATCAGGTCTTTAGATTATCAGAGAAAGTACATTAGACAGACGGTTGTACACCTGCCTGTAAATTAGGTTTATCCTGAATACTGTTCATCTCAGCGTCCCACATTGTAGGGATAAAATAATCTGCCATAAGAAACTTATCACCTGAGTTGTCTCAGTAGTAAGAACGCGATTTTACCGACCGGGAGGCCTCTCGACCTCCCCTGTCTCGGCTTGGGTGATCTGGTAGTATCCCAGCCTTCGTGCTTCCTTCTGTTGACATGGCAGCTAAGCACCGAAAGGGTGCTGCAGCTGGTAATCGAAAAAAAGCAGCAGAATTTGTGACGTATTCATTTTGGTTGGGGTTTTGGGTAGTATAGGGTGTCGTTTCAACGTTTGATAGGCATTTCGTTCCTCTGGGTGTCAGTATACAGAGAGCTATTCTTTCACAGTGTCCTCTAAGGCAGTAGCACCTTGGAAAATCATCCAAGGGTCACAGTAAAGGAACAATCGTTTCTTCTATCCGGATTCGTCTCATGATAGGCGGCCTGATGTCAGAACAAAAAAATCGTGTTATTGTTGCAGCTTGTGACCTCATTCCGCCCATCAGCACGGATGGAAAGCATCGAGTTCTCCTCGGTCGATGGACGGTCGATAAGCAGTGGATGATACCGATAACCGGTGGTCGAGACAGCGATTTCGCGGCCAGCGGATGGTGAGCTCTAGGCCACTGTGAACACCAAGAACTCCAGTCTTTCCAAAAGGGCATTCAGGCGATTTGGTTGTGTCACATATTTGGTGGTCGAAAGCAATCGCATAGAATTCTGATGCTTGGTGAAAGGCTTTTTTTTTTTCAGAGCTCTGCTTCACCGTTGGTTTCGGAACGTCGGAGGCAACGCCTACAGCAATGATGTTGTGAGAAAGTGTTTTCATAATCAGCTGATTCTATGATCTTTCTTGTCACTACCAAGGCTTCTTAAGACTTCACAGTCCTCAGTGTTCTAGTTCCATCCTGTGACCAAATATTACTTGACCTTCTGTTACTCAGGATGTCCAATTTCCCGGTGGACATGCCATTGATTCAATCTGTGGGACAACTTCCTGCACACCAGAACTTTTGCTGAAAGGCCTTGGGGGTAGTCAAAGTCCATTTCCAGTGGAATACGACATTGTTGCGGATGGAGAGAAGGCATTTGATCAACAGTTTTACTTCTGCAACGCGACGGTTCCCAGGCGTCACCTGGATTCAGGCGGTCCAGCTTGTTCATGCCTAGACTGCGAGAGCTCGTGCGTTCCGCCTCCAGAACCACCCGCGCCCACTCCCATACCGAAAGTATTTGGTAAGTTTTGTTTTCTCACACTGTTGTTCAACTTTGTCTATTGGCCACAATACCATGCAACTTCTTTGCAACGATTACCTCCGTACTGTAACTCTCGGTGAGCGATTCCATCCTATCCCCGTTGTACGAATCCGACCGCCGGTTGCTGAATACAATGCCTTAAAACAACATTCTTCTGGAGCGACCGGTTTCGGCCAATCGTCTCCGTACGTCCTGTGGATATGATCTAGCTTTGACGCGAGTCTGCTTGGGGTATTATAGCCTTAACACGTTCAACTATTCCACCATTTTCATCCGACCTTGAGTCTAATGCCCCTCAGCACAGTAGTACGCTTGCAATCGTGATAAGTTATTTCTGCGACCGCCTTCCTACAATTGGGTAGGCTCAAACCTGGTACTGACTAAGACTGATTTGCCATAGTTATGTGAGTTTACAATGCCCCTTCTATTCGCTCTCTAAAGTTTGCACCAAAACATAGTGTTGGTTTCACACACGACTCAGCGTAAACCGGTGTTGCTTATCCCTGCCGGGATTCATGAGCACAGTTGTATGCTGCGGATCTGTTGGCCGACCGTGTCAGCTGTCCTCTACACATCCTCGTCGCCAGTACCGGTCGGACAAGTCCGTCCGTTTCCTATATAGATTTTTGTGCCTCACGCATAGAGGAAGATGGAGGATAGCACTAATCACCAGTGTAAACGGAAGGAACATCGAGTTCACTGGATAAGTGCCAAAAGTCAAACGGTGGTCATCGTTTCTGAACTCGTGGAATGTGTAGGTGGGCATCCTGTTACCGTGGCATCCGCCATTACTTCGGCAACAAGCCATCCGCGGAACCAAAATGGGGTGAAGCTTCGGTCAGTTTCCTTTCTACTTTGATTGCTTATCAGGGCGGGCCAGAGGAACTCATCAAATAGTATGCATTGTGACGTGGAACATGTCAGTCTCTACCAGTGCTGTGTCCTATTGTTTGGCAGAAGTTGATCCAGTTTCCAGTTGATCCATGGTCTAGGTGGCTTAGTGGTCAGAGCGCGAATTTACTGACTCGAAGGTCTGTGGTTCGAACCCTACCTCTGCCTCTCAACTTCTCCTGTCTAGAATTGGGCAGTCTGGCAGTGTCCCAGCCCTAATGCTTCCTTCGGGTGGCATGGTAGCTGGGCACCGGAAGTGTCCTACAGCTGAACGATTTTCTTTAAATCCAAATGTCGTAAGCTCAGCAGCTGCCAGGTACTTTACGGGAGTTGGAAATTTTTTTCCCGAATGATTCTTTACCGCTCTGAAGTAGTCACGTTTTCCGACGGATTCTAAGCAAACACATCGGTTAGGCCAAGACCCAGGACAAGTGTCCATCCCATGCAGTCCAGTTTCCTGTAAATATTCGTGTGGCTTTAGTCTGAGTCTAGAAGACGTCGATGCTTGCGTAACGGCGCATACTACCGGTAAAGCATGCAAGTAGTGTCTGATTTGGTGTCCAAACTCCGTCCTGCATCCGATGGGATGTGAAGGTCACTACGGAAATCATGAAGCCGCTTTACAGTGACCGCTTATTGTTGCACGATATTCAAAAAACGCTCGAGAAAGTTAAAGAGGATCCTTGAGAATATTCACTTTTCAGAAAATCTTTGCAGATGAGATGTCTGCTTTTGTGTCTAATGGCTCGTAGCCGCTAGCTCATGTTTGCTGATAAACAGCTTCGCAGCGGAGAGCGTTTCTGTAGCCTTCGTACGGACATGCGTAGCGTGTGTTCAAACCCGCTGTATCCGCTGGGAAATCCACAGAAGCAGTGGTCAGCTGGTGTCAGCGGTGTTCATTCTTGTCGATTTCTGTCTAGATTGTCTGGCTGAGTTTTGGAGATGGAGGGGGCTGCAGCAGGCTGGTGCCAGACCTCTCACATCTTTCCTTTCACCTACTGGACGAAATCTCCATTGGAAATTCCTACCCCCCCTAATACACACCAGCAACAATTTATGAGTAGCTCAAGGGAAGAATAATTCCATCAGATGAGTTAAACTCCCTTCTGAGCAGTCGTCAGTCGAGGAGCCAAACAGTCAGCGGTTGACCCCGTCGATGTGATTTGTGTGACTGAATGATGAGCGGGCTATATCCTGTCCACGTGTGAGTTAATTGCACTAAGGGGGCGAGATGGCCCAAGTGGTTAGAGCGCGAATTTACTGACCGGAAGGTCCGTGGTTCGAATCCGACTTCCGCCTCTCGACTTCCCCTCTCTAGGCTTGGGCAACCTGGCAGTATCTCAGGTGGCATGGCAGCTAGGCACCGGAAGGGTGCTACAGCTGAACGCTATTTGCACTACGGTTCAGCCGCTCGACGCTCAATTGTGAAGCGTTCAACCGGAAAGTTGTGGGTTGGAAACTTCCCGGCGCCTTGTGAGATGCGCACTGCTGATGATTCCAAACGAAGATGAAACAACTGTACAGTGCTCCTCTGCATAGGTTGACTTCACTTACTCGTCGAAATTTCCATTGAGAACTTCTTTCCCACTGTAAAGTTGTATTTAAACTAGTCCGCGTAATTGTATGGCACCAAGGCACAGGTGTCCTTTACTGATGTTGCTGTCAGCGGTGGCTGAGTGGAATGGAGTTAGCTCTGCGGTAAGGGTTCTGGATGTTGATAGTGGATCGATTGTGAAAAGTCGGTATGGCTGACCTTCTGCCATGAGGTTCTCGTGATCCCCACTGTGCATGGTTTGAGGAGCTGCAATATATTGCTACTCATCGGTGTTAGTGTAACGGTGATACTACTGATCGGGAGGCACGCGAGTAGTATGTGTTGTTCGTAGAATTTCGCTTTGCGTCGATTGAAAAATGGAATTCTGTTGCGGAATTCGCGGGGCCACTTTATAACATTTGCTTTTATTTGACCGACGAATGATTGGAGGCAATGAATCTCCAGGAAGACTCGTTCCGGAGAAGATCTGTGTCCGGTTTTTGTAACTAAGATGCAGATTAGAGTTTTGCTTCCTTGTTCAATGGTCTGTAACCCGTCAGTTGGCATTTCCGAATAAATAACTCCGCAGCGAAGGCCTTCTTCCTTTTATTAGTAGCACTTTTGCTGTCAGTTCTTGGCTAGATTGTCTGAATGAGTGCCCGCAGGTGTAGGTACCTCGGAATGATTGTGTCAGGCTAGCATTAAGCCCCTTCCTCATCCACTTTTATTCACAGTAGGGTTTTCGAGTGTATTTTGATTATACCCCAGCGAAGCATCAGTGTGCTTTGAGCAGCGTCTTCAGATGTTCGACAATCGTTGTCTAGCATTAAGCTCCTCATCCACTTTTATTCACAGTAGGGTTTTCGAGTGTATTTTGATTATACCCCAGCGAAGCATCAGTGTGCTTTGAGCGAGCACTTCAGATGTTCGACAATCGTTGTCTCAGAATCATAGCTCGTGTGGGTTGGTGTCGGCGAATCCGTAACGAGGCAGTTAGAAAGCGTGTTTTCGGTTGTGTAACGGGTACTTCCATCGAAGAATGTGTCCAGCACCAGAAGCTGCGTTGGTTGGGACATGTTTTACGTATGCCGAACCATCGTTTGCCGAAGAGAGTACTGTTTTCCATGCCCAATTC